TTTTTGTTTAGTAAATTTTTTTATTTTTCTTCGGTACAAAAAAAAAAATCATTTTTATAGTTGACTAGTAGGTGTACACGTGCATTGCACGTGGATCATAATTAGGTTTTTGCCTCTGTTGTGCATAATTATGTTAAATATCACAAATATTCTTATGTTAATAGAGAGAAAACTCCAGACCAACTAAAATCAGCAAAATATTTGCTTATTTTCTAATCGTTATCCTGACGTATAACTCGTGATTATAGCAATCAATACTCTATAAGTTAAAGAATGATGTCTAAGTACACACATCTAATTTTAATAATGGAAGAACCAAGTAGAAGAGTTGAAACTATGCAATGAAAAATAAGCTAAAGAAAGCATAGGACAACTGTCATTGAACATTTCAATTGAGGGTTTCTATCCCTCTCTAATATATTTATGCTAGTTTTCCTTTTCTGGTGGAGCAACTTGACTGTTCTTGAAATAAATTTTCTTACAACACAATGATTAACTTATGGATTGTATAAAGGCTTTGTATTGAGAACCTCATTATTCTCTTGCTGCTAGCAACAGTTCAAAATCAAGATAACTGTTTTATTGTTTTTTACCTTTGGATAATTGACAATAAGTATATACCCTAATGCCTTATTTTCTACTTATGGAACCAGCATCAACATTCTACACAAGTAGAGGGCAGGACTCATATATACTATCCCTTAGGCCAACATGAAGAACTTTCATTAGAGACAGGCAAACTTCCAATGAACTTTCATTAGAAACAAGACCAAACTTCCAATACAATGAAATATGCAAATTCTAGAGAAGCCTTGGTATGATTTTTTCCTAGCTTCAACCTTGTGTCAATGAATTCCTTTGTTGCCACCACCATATAAAGCATAAAATGTTTTGTTTATCTAGGGCATTAGAATACGGTTCCTGATAAAATTAGAATAATATTGAGAAAATATAACTACGGCTCTGCCAAACCTGTAGGTCTAGAAGTCACCATACAACAAATTATGAGACCTAAAGTTAAGATATCTTTCACACACACACAGATTCAACAACCTAATTGTTATGAAAGAGAATGGTTTTACAACATTCTAGCAGAATACGCTAAGAAATGTGAAAGGAAAGAATTTTTTTTAGGATTTGAAAGTACTTTAGTACGTCATTCCTCTGCCAAGGCTTTTGTCAAATTAAATGCATCATTTTAGAAGGAGTTCATAAAATGAATACCAATCACTCATCACGACTGCTATTTGAAATCCAAGTTGGCAAGTGTTGTGACTTTGTTTGATGAATATCTATGTGGGATAAAAAAAGGACGAATCAATAGAATGATAATTGAAATAAAATTTAGTAACTAAGATGAATGAATGTCATATTTGTAAAGCCAACCATAGATCTATGCAGTTAAGAATTTAAAACAAAGAAATGGCATTCAGGCATGGTGCCGAGCGCATTAACCTCTAAGTGTAGCTCTCTTTCCTTTTTATATACCAATTATTATTGCTTAGAACAACATAGCATCATGTTTTCTAAAGTAACCATGCAAAATCCAATGAAAACCCAATATAAAAAATATCAGCTTACCTTCAAATACAACACCTTGAGAATTTCATTCAATTTGGGGCTTGCTTATTATGTTCATAATATGCTACTCAACCAAGTATCTTACCTTATTATCATGACAATGGTGTTCGGAGATCTATGAATGGTAAAAAACTGAATTCACTAAAGCAGGGTAGACTTTTAGTTGTTATGACAAGTCCGCCAAAGCTTGTATTAGGAACAAAATTTAATGACTATGCCTATAAATAATTTTCTCAATATGTTCCACATATTGTTCAATAGCATATGTAGGATCATAGTATGAAACTTTATTAGATGAAACTGTAGCCTTGGACATAGTACAAGTATGATGAAAATTACTATGAAACATTAACCATCTATTCAGATAAACAAGAATTATATACAGCATGTACCAACTGCTTGTACGTTCCTAATCTTTCTACTAAATATTGAAACTTTGAATTCTGTTATCAATCTATATAATGAAAATTTCTACTGTCAAAAGCAACAAGAGGAAATAAAGGGGAAAAAAATCACGGTTTTAAATGCATACCTGGCAACTTGCTGATAAAGATGAGGCTTTGTCAATTTCTGTATAAAAGTTGGCTTGATTTTTCATTCAAAGCAATGGCTAAATGAATGTAGTGATTTATCACATTACTGAATCTATCATGTAAATATGAAAAATAAAGCATGCACTCTTCTCCCCACCGATTCATCTTTTAGGACATTGTACCAGTTGTTTGAGGATCAAAAAGCCAGAGAGAGGGAGAAGAATGAGGTTTTCACTTCTTGTATCCGACATGTGAAAAAAAAAAAGGTATATGAAAAGCTAAAATGGTTGAAATTCCAATAATTGGTTCATTCTTTTGAAGGAAGAGAATAAGCCAAAAGTCATCATTAATCAATTTAGTTGATTTACATGGTTAAACTTCTCCAT